GAGGTGCAGGTTGCGGAGGTTGCGGCTGGTGATGGTTTGGCACACTGGGGGGGGGGGGGAGTTAGGGGAAGGGGAGGGTGGAGAACGTGAGGAGATGGTGGTCGGAGAGAGGGAAGGGGGTGTTAGTGAAGTGGTTAAGGGTACAGAGGTGGGAGAAGACGAGGGTGTTCCCATTGTGGGGTGTGGGTGGAGGATTGAGTGTATTGTGTGAGTGTGAAGGAGGAGGTTAGGTGGAGGAGTTGGGAGGTAGCTGGGGTGTTTGTCATTGATGGGGATGTTGAAGTCCCCGAGGATGATGGTCGGTAGCTCAGAGGAGAGGAAGAAGGGAAGCCAGGCGGCGAAGTCATCCAGGAAGCGGGCTATGGATCCGGGGGGCGTGTAGATCACTGCGATCCTTAGGGGGGTGGGTGAGAAGAGCCGGATGCAGTGAGCCTCGAAGGAGGAGAAGGTTAGGGAGGGGGGGTTTAGGGAGGACATGGAAGGTGCTCAGCGGTGATAGGAGCAGGCCGACACCACCACCTTTGTGACCGCCCAATCTAGGTGAATGGGACCAGATGAGACCTCCATGGGAGAGTGCCGCAGGGGAGGTAGTGTCAGTGGCCTGTACCCAGGTTTCGGTGATGGCTAGGAGGTTGAGGGAGCGGGAGATAAAGAGGTCATGGATGGCAGTTAGTTTGTTGCAAACCGAACGGGTGTTCAGGAGTGCAAACCGAGAGAGGGATGGATGCGGGGAGGAGTGTGCACAGGTATGAGGTTGAGGGGGTTGCGGCAGCTGGCGGGGGCAGGGGGGTCCCTGGAGGGGGGGAGAGGTGGTGAGGGGCCAGGGTTCGGGGAGATGTCCCGGGCGGATAGGAGAAGGAGAAGGGTTGAGGAGGGTGGGCATGGGAATGGGAGGTGTAGGGCGTGTGGGGTCTGGTAGTGGTGGCACGTGGGTCGACCGGGGAGTGGAGTACCAGGAGGAGGTGGTGAGTGCCGTAGTGGGGAGAGGGTAGAAGTGAAGGGGCAATGTAGAGCTGTTTTGGGGGGGGTGGGCAGGTAGAGGGAGGCGATTTTTGGGATGGAGGAGAGGAAGACGAGGAGGAGAAGTGCAGGTGGCATGCTGGGGTGAGTGCAGTGCTGTTCGGGTCGGGGGAGGTGAAGGGATATGGGTCAGGGCAAGGTGATGTGGAGAGTCTGTATCACCGTGGAGGAGTCCACTAGAGTCCTTCTGTAGCTGCAATCTGTGAGTGCAGTATGCTGGCGTCCGAGGGGTCTTCAGTGGGTCCGGTGGATCGGCGAGTTGAGGGGTCGTAGGGTGCGATGTCTGGGGGTGTTGGTAGGCACAGCGTCTGGTGATGTTGGTGGCTGGAGATTCGCTGGGTGGTCCGGGAGATTCGCTGGGCGACGTCTTGATTCGCTGGGTGGTCCGGGTGTTGGGTGTCCAGAGGTGGTAGCTGGGTGCCCGGTAGCTGGGTGCTGGGTGTCCAGGGGTGGTAGCTGGGTGCCCGGTAGCTGGGTGCTTGGTGTCCAGGGGTGGTAGCTGGGTGCCCGGTAGCTGGGTGTCCAGGGGTGGTAGCTGGGTGCCCGGTAGCTGGGTGCCCGGTAGCTGGGTGGTGGGTGTCCAGGGGCGGTAGCTGGGTGCCCGGTAGCTGGGTGCAGGGTGTCCAGGGGTGGGCCCAGAACCGATGTATGGGTTGGGCAGCGGAGCAGCGATCAGTGGGCCTGAGCTGATTCCTGGTGGTCAGGGATGGACACAGGGCTAGTGGGGAGGGCCCTGCGAAGGCTGGCAGGTCTGTGGGGATCGGTGATCGGTGGTGGCAGCTTACCCGTTCTGGTGGTGCTGCCGTGCAGGTATCCTGGGGTGGTCCTGGGCTGCTGTCAGCTTGGTGGTCCTTGCTTGCTGTTCCTGGTGGTCCAGGGTAGTCAATGAGGACCCAGGGCTGATGGGGAGGGCCCTGGGCAGGCAGGCAGGTCGGTGGTACCCGGTGATCAGAGCGGAGACGGTGCGGGCGGATGTCCGGCGATGCGGTCCGGTCGCGGCAAAAATTGAGGCCCCGGCTTCAGGTGCGCGGGTAGGCCGCGATTCCCAGAGCTCCGGGAAAAGGTCCAGAAGCTTACCCTGGTGGTCGGGCTGGGCCGGGAGTGTCTTAGGGGTCCCGCTGGGGTCCGCTGCGGGCCGGATGGCAGCGGATTGGGGCTAGGAGCGCAGGAGCTCCTAACACATGTCTGCTCCCGCCGCCAAATTGAAAGTGTTTAGGTCTGACCTCATATTAGATGGTTTTGGTAAATGTAAGGAATTTTGTACAAGAAAAGTGTATAATATACGGCCAGCCTAACACCAGGAATTTTTGCAATCAGTCACTGGGAATTTCCTTCTTCCAGTGACTAGTGATGAGGGACATTTTTTTCTTCCACTTGCCAATGAGGTTAAGCATTCTTTCTTTCATACAAGCCGCCCATTTTTTTTTTCTGCTCACCAATTAAAAAGTTCTGCTATTCTAATGTTGTGAAGTGTGTCAAAAGTGAATTATTTGAGTGAAGATCCATTTAAGAAGTATTTAAGGGGTACAAGGTCAGCAAGAAAAGTGTGTTGTGTATGCAGTGAGTCTTTAACCACTTGCCTACTGGGTCCCCTTCCTGTGCAGGCCAATTTTCAGATGTCAGCGCTCTCACACTTTGAATGACAATTGTGCGGTCATGCAACACTGTACCCAAATGAAATTTTTATAATTATTTTGAGACAGATAGAACTTTCTTTTGTTGGTATTTAATCACCACTGGATTTTTTATTTTTTTTGCCAAAGAATGGACATTTTGAAAATCGTGTCTGTTATAAAATTTTGCAAATAAGTAATGTTTCTTCTTCACTGATGTGCACTGATGAAGCTGAACTGATGGACACTGATGGGCCTTGATGAGGGGTACCGACAGGTGACACTGATAAGCGGTACTGATGGGCACTGATAGGCGGCACTGATGGGCATTGATAGGTTCCACTGATGGGGAATGATAGACTGCACTGATGATCAGTACCCTGATTATCAGTGAAAACTACGTCCTGGCAGGCTTGCAAGTTAACAGCTCTTCTTTCCTCCTTCAGGGAGGAAAGGAATGTGGATAACCAACAATCTGTTTATATGTGATCAGCTGTGATGGGATACAGCTGATCACTTGATAAAGGGCCGCTGTGATTGGTCCTTTACCCTGATCTATGATCAGCTGTGCCCAAAGGACACAGCGGTCACAGAGCGCGTCTGATGTGCGCCACAGGAGGCGTGCGGGGGGCGGGGTTCTGGGAGGATATCTATTGATGCCCTCCCAGAACTGTATTTCAGCAATAGCATGGTTGGCAAATGGTTAAAGTACAACTAAAGGCAAAACTTTTTTTTCTTCTTTTTAGTTTTGGATAGAGTGGAGATGGATTAGAACACCTGTCTGTGTTTATTGCTGTCTGCTTTCCTGTTTACCATGATCATTGAAAGTGAAAGTAAAAGAAAAGCCCAATATTTGGGTTGTCCCCAAAAAAGTAATAGAGGGGAAATCTTCCATTTGGAACTGTAGTCTTGGTAACCTGGGGGTCTCCAAGGACTTCCCTTAATGTGTAGTGATTTCCTCTCACTTCTGGTTTTGCTTATGGGACAGGAAGTGAAGGGAAATCTCCCCAATGGGGCACAGATGGCAAAAAATAAACTGACAGGGGTTATAACCTTATCTTACTCCACTTAAAATGAAAAAACTAAATTTTTAAAGTATAGTTTTACTTCCAGTCCCCAGTCACATTTGAGCATGTTTCAGCTTGTCTCCCTATGCTTTACTATACTCAGCATGCAGAATATCATTCTTTCTAATTGTTCCTGTACTGCATGCTCATTCGGTCAAAAAAAGTACATGAGCATTTTTTTTTAGAATAGTCAGACATTTTTGCTCCTATAGACTACAAAGGGTGTGCCTGTATAAGCATGACTGAACGAATGCTTCATCTAGAACTGCTCTCCTCCTCATGCCCAGCCCAGAATACAAATGCCTGAAGCTCAATCCATGTGCAAAAACACTTGAACAAAGCTTGTAAAACACAGTACAAAATCTCTACAAATATGCTCTGCTCAGGCGTGAGTGCAGACTAATGATAATCCATGTTCAGTATTCAGCGCTATGTCACCACACCTATGCATGCTGCAGACTTTGCCTTCTTTATGTGCCCCAGGGGGTTTCCAGTTCTTTCAAGACCCTTCAACACCCCTGTTAAGGATTGGAATACATGGGTGATTTTTAGCAGCATGATCACACTACTAAAATCACTAGCATTCGTGATCAGTCACTACTTCTATGAAACACTGGTCTCTGTATGGAGTGAGTTACACAAGTATCATGTAGTAGTGGTGAAGTGCTCATGGATTGTTACAAATGTGTATGATTGAATGCTACCACAATGTATTACATGTCATGTGTATCTCACTCCATAGGGAGCCATTTGTTCCAAATGAGTAGAAATTGATCAGTAGTACTAGTAAATTATTGCTGTCAATTTTTGTTCTCTATAATAACTCCATGTGTTCCCTTATACAAGCAGATGTGAGCAGAGCAAACAAGCCATATGTCATGGTGTAATCAATCACAGGAACAGGAACTGACCTACAATAAAAAATAACATATGGACACCAGGCACTATAACTGCATGGGATGAGCTGTTTATGGGTATGTCCAGGATGTCCCCTTAAGCCTAGGTTCACATAGATGTGGTGCGATAGTGGTTTCAGTGCGATTTCAAGGGATAGCTGTTCAGTGGTTCTGGTGCAATTCTGATGTGATTTGGCAGCAAATTGTAAACTCTAGAGATTGCAAAATTGGATAGCACAGCTCCGAACTCGCACATAACCCTCTTTCCAAACGCACTGCAACTGGACTGCATATACACTATATTGCCCAAAGTATTGGGTCACCCCTCCAAATCATTGGATTTAGGCGTTCCAATCACCTCCATGGTCACAGGTGTATAAAATCAAGCACCTAGTCATGCAGACTGCTTCTACAAACATTTGTGAAAGAATGGGTCGCTCTAAGGAGCTCAGTGAATTCAAGCGTGGTACCGTGATAGGTTGCCACCTATGCAATAAGTCCATCCGTGAAATTTCCATATTACTAAATATTCCACGGTCACTTGTTAGTGGTATTATAACAAAGTGGAAGCAACTGGGAACAACAGCAACCCAGCCACCAAGTGGTAGGCCACGTAAAATAACAGAGCAGGGGTCAGCGCTTGCTGAAGCGCACATTGCGCAGAAGTCGCCAACTGTCTGCAGAGTCAATAGCTAACGACCTCCAAACTTTGTGTGGCCTTCAGATTAGCACAACAACAGTGCGTAGAGAGCTTCATGGAATGGGTTTCCATGACCGAGCAGCTGCATCCAACCTTACATCACCAAGTGCAGTGGAAAGCATCGGATGCAGTGGTGTAAAGCACACCACCACTGGACTCTAGAGCTGTGGAGACGTGTTCTCTGGAGTGACGAACCACGCTTCTCTGTCTGGAAATCTGATGGACATATCTAGGTTTGGTGTTTGCCAGAATGGTACTTGCCTGACTGCATTGTGCCAAGTGTAAAGTTTGGTGGAAGGAGGATAATGGTGTGGGGTTGATTTTCAGGGGTTGGGCTTGGCCCCTTAGTTCCAGTGAAAGGAACTCTTAAGGCATCAGCATACCAAGATATTTTGGACAATTTCATGCTCCCAACTTTGTGGGAACAGTTTGGGGATGGCCCCTTCTTGTTCCAACATGACTGCACACCAATGCACACAGCAAGGTCCATAAAGACATGGATGAGCGAGTCCTGACCTCAACCCAATAGAACATCTTTGGAATGAATTAGAAAGGAGACTGTGAGCCAGGCCTTCTCGTCCGACATCAGTGCCTGACCTCACATATGCGCTTCTGGAAGAATGGTCAAACATTCCCATAGACACCCTCCTAAACCTTGTGGACAGCCTTCCCAGAAGAGTTGAAGCTGTTATAGCTGCAAAGGGTGGGCCAACTCAATATTGAACTCTACGGACTAAGACTGGGAATCCGTTAAAGTTCATGTGTGTATAAAGGCAGGCCGACCAATACTTTTGTCAATATAGTGTATGTGAATGCTCTCCATAGAAACACATTTTACTTCTCATGTCACAAGAATCCCTGCAGTTCAAAATGCATAAAAAAAACAGATATGTGTGAACCGGGGCTAAAGGTAATGTAAATCCTAACTGAGTGACATGTAGTTTGTACCATGTATCATACACAGTTGCTATTTTTTTTAAATAAAATACTAGGTTTCACCTTTTTTCCTATTGTGTTGCACCTGATCTCCTGTGGCCTCTTTGCAGCCATATACTGGTGACATTCCTTTACTCCAGAAATGGCTGCATGCCATTTCTCACATTGAGTTTCCAGAACAGTGGACTGTGCTAATTTTGCTGAAATGTAGCCACTTGTACTCTCCATTATGGTGGCCAAACATGCTTTTAAAAAAGGATTGATTTATTTTCTGTCCGATATTTTCCCTTAGGAATAATGCATCTATAGTCCACAACCTGTTTGACTACTGTAACACAAGCAGGGAAGTGGCTTTTGATTGAAAGTAATGATACAATCAAACCATCTGACTGCACTGCCTCCTTTATATTTATACAGTATATGTAATGCAGTATGAGGGCATACTTAAACCATTAAAAATGTGTATTAAATTAGGCAGGCCCTTGCACTACACAGTTGTTAGTAGATCTAAAGAAGAGCGAATAAGATTGTTTAAAACAGTGTTTGGCAACTTGCAAGATAAAAGGGCCCTCAAATGTGGCCCCTAATGTCTCCAAATGGCTACTTATAATATTTATTGCATATAATGCTCCAGAATACTGTCACAGACTGAAGGCTTACTAGAAAAAAGGGTCAGAGTTTGTTCTGCTGGAGTGGTTGGAGAATGAAATAATGCTATAGGACAGTGGTCTCCAAACTGCGGCCTGGGGGCCAGATGCGGCCCTTTGCTTGCTTTTATCCAGCCCTCGAGGCATTATTCCTCCCACTGCAAGCAACAGTGTAGCATAGTTTCTCCCACTGACATCGACAATGGGGCACTATTCCTCCTATTGACACCAATGATGGGGCACTATTCCTCCTATTGACACCAATGATGGGGCACTATTCCTCCTATTGAAACCAACAATAGGACACTATTCCTTTCATTGATACGAATGATTGGGCATTATTTCTCCCATTGATACCAATGATGGGGCGCTATTCCTCCCATTGACACCAATGATGGGGCGCTATTCCTCCCATTGACACCAATGATGGGGCGCTATTCCTCCCATTGACACCAATGATGGGGCACTATTCCTCCCATTGACACCAATGATGGGGCACTATTCCACCCATTGATACCAACGATGGGGCACTATTTTTCCCATTGATACCAATGATAGGGCACTATGTCTCCCATTGATACCAACAATGGGGCAATATTTCTCCCACTGATACTAACAATGGGGCACTATTTCTCCCATTGATACCAATGATGGGGCACTATTCCTCCCACTGCAAGCAACAGTGTGGCATAGTTTCTCCCACTGACATGAACAACGGGGCACTATTCTTCCAATTGATAACAATGACGGGGCACTTTTCCTCCCAATAATATGAATGATGGGGCACTATTCCTCCCATTGACACCAATGATGGGGCACTATTCCTCCCATTGACACCAATGATGGGGCACTATTCCTCCTAATGACAACAATGATGGGGCACTATTTCTCCTATTGAAACCAAAGATGGGGCACTATTCCGCCCCCTAATACCATTGATGGGGCATGGTTTACCCCCACTGATGCTAGGACATTTTCTTCTCCCACTGGCCAGTCTGGCCCTCCTAAAAGTTGAAGGACAGTAAACATACTTTAATAATACCTTATTTTAGAAAGTTTGGAGACCCCTGCTATAGGAGACCATCAGAGACTAGGGATGTGTTGCATGAAACTGTTAAACTTTACTAAAATTAAAGTGTTTGTAAACCTCAGACATGAAATATGAACAAAGCATATCCCTCTATAATGTATGTTTGTCTCAATTAAAAGCACTGAGTGTCATTTCTCTCTGCTGCTTCATTCATCTGCTATCAGCATGAATCACTTCTGACAACTTTTCTTGACATCAAGAGAAAAATGGTGACGGGAGGGACCTCCAGTAGATTGACAGCCTCAGCTCTGTTCCAGTGAGCTGTGTGGAGGGCAGTGTGTCCTTCTTTCCAATCAGCTCTCAGAATTCTCCTCCCTGAACTCTGCAGATTTTAATTTCAGCTCTCCGTCCTGTTTTCTGAAAGCTCAGACAAGTTTTATAAATTCTGGACTTTGAACAGATGTAGAGAAGACTGTAGATAGACATATACAACTTATGGAGGAGAATGTGTTTCATCTCTGTGTATCACCTGAGACCAGTCACTTTACTGGGTATATGTAAAAACAAGGGAAGAAAGAGTGCACCATCCTAGTGCATTACCTGAGAGTAAATTTTATTAAAGCAAAAGAGAGCCTCACAGCCTGAGGAAGAGGGGATCGTAAAGTTGGGGGACTGTGATGCAAAGAGAAGGGGGACTGTGTTGTAAAGATAGGGGACTGTGATGCAAAGGGGGAGACTGTAATGTAAAGGTGGGGGGTTGTGATCTGAAGGGGGGAGATTGATGCACAGGGGGGACTGTGACGTAAATATGGGGGACATCAATCAAAATGGGGGAGAATGATGCAAAGATGGGGCCCTATATTGTAAAGGAAGGCTGTGATGCGAAGGGGGCTGTGATGCAAAAGATTGCTCTGTGATGTAAATGGAAGGACGGTGATGTGAAGAGGGGTTTGTGGTGGAAAGGGGGTCTAAGTAATAGCACAAATATGAGACCCCTACTGGAAGAAATATTTACTGAGCGGGCCTCTATGAATTTTAATTCCATACACCTGGGCATGTTCCCACTGCGGCCCCGATCACCCCTTCCCTGTGACAGCGGGTCGGGGATCTTCTCCCTGCACCCACAGTCACATTTTAAAAAAAATGCAGCTAAGCGGGGCTCCACCCACCCAGCGCATCATTCATTCACAGAGTTCTGTGAATGGGAGAACTACATCTACCGTACCCTGATCTGCTGATCGCAGGTGCAATGCTCTGCAGACTCCTAATAAAAAATAATAAATGGACATTTTTTTACCTGCAAAAAGATGTTTTTTTTCCCAAATCGGTGCTTCCTCTACTTTATTGCTGGGGCTTCAGGGCTGCACTTCAAACACCAAAGGACTGCATGAAACCCTTGGGCCACCTAGGTATAGAGTATGGTGAGCCATAGACATTGATTGCATCTCTGTTTCCACCATGTAATCTTATAATCTGATTGATTGAAATATGACTGTAATAATGAACAAAGTATCTCAGCACTGCCAATTGATCAATTTTCTCCCCTGGCCTATCAAATCATTTTAATCTAATCTGATCTAAACTGTTTACATTTATTGTAAGGGAAATTATAGCAATTTGATTATTTTATTTACATTTCTTGATCCAATCATAAACCTATCGGATAATAAAAGTGCATGTGCCCACCATTGGAAACCCTTGTGCAGGGTGACACTGCAGAAGCACAACTAGGAAAAGGAGGGGACTGAGCAGGAAGTGCCTACATAAGTGCCTTCATGGCAGGATCACCAGGTGTACTGTTACTAAAATATGCAGATTTATTAATATTAACCTGTTCCACCTAACCAATAGCAGAACGACTGCCGAGCAGGACTCTTGTCAATCCAGGTGGCCAGTCACAGCTAATCACAACAAAAAAACCTGAATAAATCAATTTAATTCAGTTAATCAGTAGCCGACAGGGCACTTCTACCCTCTTCCTGCCCAGGCCAATTTCCAGCTTTCAGCGCTGTTGCACTTTGAATGACAATTGCGCGGTCATTCAACACTGTACCCATATGAAATTTTTATCATTTTTTTGCGACAGATAGAGCTTTCTTTTGGTGGTATTTAATCACCTCTGGGTTTTCTTTTTTCTTAAACAAACCAAAAACCACTGAACATTTTGAAAAAAAAATTTTTTTCTTAGTTTTTGTTATAAAATTTTGTAAAGAAGTGATTTTTCTCCTTCACTGATGTGCGCTACTGAGGCTGCAGTGATGGGCACTGATAGGCTGCACTGATGGACACTGATAGGTGGCACTGATGGGCACTTATGAGGACTGGTAGGTGGCACTGATGGGCATTGACAGGCATCACTGATGGGCACTGAAAGGCAGCACTGATACATGGCACTAATAGGCGGGACTGACAGGCACTGATAGGTGGCACTGATGCACATTGATAGGCGGCACTGACTGGCACTCATAGGTGGCACTGACTGGCAGCACTGATAGGTGGCACTGAAGGGTGAAACTGAAAGGCAGCTCAGATGGGCACTGATATGTGGCATTGATGTGGCACTGATGAGCAATGACACAAGGCACTGATGGACACTGACAGGTGGCACTGCTGAGGCTACACTTATCACCAGGGCACACTGATCATCAGTGCCCTGATGATCAGTGTACATGTCCCCTCCGCGGAAAGCGGATTACCGGCTCTCCTCTCGAGCTGTCAGCATGACATCTCGTGGGGAGAGAAATGCCGATAATCGGCATTTCCCTGTTTACATGTGATCAGCTGTGATTGGACACAGCTGATCACATGACCGAGCCGACATCTTCGGCTCTTTCCTTGATCGGTGATCCGAGGAACACAGCGCACCGCCGATCGCCGCACTGCGCGCTCCGGGAGCTGCGCATGCGCAATGAGAATGGGAGGACGTCATATGATGTCCTCCCAGAACGAGAGAACCGCCTTGCGTCCATCACATTACTATATGGTGGGCGGGAGGTGGTTAAATGCTTGCTTATAGCAAAGAACAATCTTTGCTATGAGCAATCATGTGTAAAAAAAAATTAAAAAATACTGATCACTTCCCCAAAGTAGTACAATGTTACTATGGTAACATTATATCACTCTGATCACAGTGTATTATGAAAAAAAATCTTTTTTTTTTTTAAAAAATGTAAAAATATATATATTTTTTTTTTGTAATGTCACCAGTCAGTGTTCCTGATCACGACACACCAGTTATATGCTGACGCTGTACTGCACTGGTGACAGTATATAAAAAAAAAATAAAAAAAACTTTTTTAAGTTCATTTTCAAAAAAATTATGACAAAAAAAATTACAACTTCAAAAAACTTGCCATGCCTCTTACTATATATATCAGACTGTCTACTTTGCAAAAAGGGGTCATTTCGGGGATGTTTGTACTGACCTGACATTTTTGGGCCTCAAGAAATTAGATTGGCTGTCAGTATTTCAGGATTGATCCATTGTCAGATATATCCCATAGTTTGTGAACTCTATAACTTTCCTACAGACTAACCCCCCCCCCCCCCCCCCGTCACATCAGGTGCGACTTGGCATGCGATTTGCATGCCAGGCGACTTGCAAATCGTATGCCAAGTTGCACCCTATTGTCTGCAATTACAGCGGTCATATGTGTGTGGTCCTGACTTGGTCAGAGCTGCACCGATTTCTAATGTAGTACATGCACTACTTTTGTTGCGATTTGCATAGACATCCATGTCAGATGTCTTGGAAATCTCAAGGAAATCAGCAGGTCACCCGATTTTGAAATCATGCAACTTCACTGTAAGTTCCACAATTTCAAAATCGGCTATGATGTGACGGGGGGGGGGGGGGGGGGGGGGGGGGGGGGGGGGGGGGGGGGGGGGGGGGGGGGGGGGGGGGGGGGGGGGGGGGGGGGGGGGTTATTTTCACCAAAGACATGTAGCAGAATACATCTTGACCTACATTTATGAAGAACAATTATTTATTTGCAAAATTTTATAACTGAAACCAAGAAAACGTGCTTTTCTTCCAAAATGTGTGGTCTTTTTTGTTAATTTAGCAAAAAAAAAAACCCCCCCCCAGTGGTGAATAAATACCAGCAAAGGAAAGCTCTAGTTGTGTGAACAAAATGATACAAATGTCATGTATGTACAGTGTTGCATGACCGCACAATTGTCATTCAAAGTGTAAGAGTGTTGAAAGCTGAAACTTGGCCCGGGCAGGAGGGGGTGAAGTGCCCGGTATTGAGGTGGCTACGATGGGGATTGTATTGATGGGGTCTCCGTAGCCTGATCTCCAGGTGACGGTACGATCCGGTCCCGGTATGGAGGTAGCAGAGCGCTGACAGCTGACTATACATCATGTTCCCGGTATCTGGATCCGCCCATCCTAGTCACATCGCAGTGCCGCAGCAGTGATCTGAACCCGCCAATCCGAGGGCCGCCAGTGACGTCCCCGCCCCGCCCCGCGGCTGCTGACATCCACAGACTCAGGAGCTTGGGCTCGCGGCTGACTGAGGTGGTCGGGGCTGCGCGCGCACTTGGTTCGGTGCCCGGTCCGTGTCACACCGGAGAAGAGCGGAGCGGCCGAGGGAATAGACGGTGAGTGGCGGCTCGATAGTAGGGATTGCAGAGGGCGCTATGTCTGGTGCTGGTGCACACAGCCTTTCCTGCTCTGTTCTGCTGAAGGGAAAGGCCTGCATCACCGCTCTCTCCCAGCCTGCACCGCGGCCCCTGGGCTCCTCAGTGTCACCTGGAGGAATCTCAGCACGAACGGGAACATAGGCCAAGAGGCTACCCCCTCCCCCGATGGATGCACCGGTCCCCCACTCATCTCCTCATTGGGAACCTGCACTGCCTGGTGGGGGTGGGGTGATGCCCCACTGATTGGATGAGAACCTCCCTTTGATGAGCCCAGAGGAACATTGGGGGATGGTGCTGACACTTACTAGGGGTCATCAATAGGGGGTCTCTGCTCTACAAAGAACACCTATGGGGGGATACCCTGTACTCTGGGGGGGCTTTATTTTAACCCCTTCCCTGCTGGGCACTTATACCCCCTTCCTGCCCAGGCCAATTTTCACCTTTCAGCACTGTCACACTTTGAATGACAATTGCGCGGTCATGCGACACTGTACCCATATGAAATATTTATCATTTTTTTCACACAAATAGAGCTTTCTCTTGGTGGTATCCAATCACATCTGGGTGTTTTATTTTTTTTGCACTGTAAACAAAAAAAGAGCAAAAAACGTTTTTCTTTGTTTCTATTATAACATTTTGCAAACCGGTAATTTTTCTCCTTCACTGATGTGCGTTGATGAGGCTGAACTGATAGGCAGCACTGATAAGCTGCACTGATGGGAATTGATGAGGAGGCACTGATAGGCGGCACTGATATTCAGGACCATGATTATCAGTGCAGATGACACATGCTGGCTATTGGCAGTACTTTCCTCATGCTGTGACAGAGTGAGGAAAGTGCTGCTGATAACCGGCAACTGTATTTACTTTGTGATCAGCTGTGTCATTGGATCAGTGATTGGCTTTTTACCATGTCATGTGATCAGCTGTGTCCGTAGGACAAAGCGATCACAGACGGCGCAGGGGGCGTGTTCTGGGAGGACATCCTATGACGCCTTCCCAGAACTGGGCAACCGCGCTGTAGCTGTCATTTGGCTACTGCATGGTTGTAAGGTGGTTAAGCTCACGTCACATGTTACAATCTGATTGTACAATCTGATTTAAGCTGGCCATAGATGGTTCAAATCTCAGCTGGTTGATCAGAGACTGGCTGAGGTTCGAACCATCTATGGGCAGGCTGATTGTACCCAATTCAATTGTTGTACGACTTGGGTACAACTAGCGTGTTGGATTTTTCATGTGATTGTCAGCTGCTATAGGTGCTAGCAGTAATCCCTGTGTTCTCCTGGCAGGCACGGCTCTCCCACCCCTTTGCTGGGTGAACACAATATCTCTGCGGGAGGGATTCCCCCTTCAACATTGACTGTGTTGATGGGGGAATCGAGTGCAAAGAAGAAAATTGCATAATCCTATGGCCTGCTTTAAACTGGCTGTACACAATACAACCTGTTTGTACTATCTTCTTTAACTGCTTCCCGTCCACCTTATAACAGAAATACTGCTACAGGGCGGCACGAGTGCGGAAAATCACGTGTATATATACGTGATTTTGCATTTTCGGGTAGGGGGCGTGTGCGCTCCCTACCCGAGCCCCCAGCAGCGGCTGTCAATCACCGGGTCCCAGCCGGTGATTACTCGCTGGCACCTGGTGATTTCCGACAATCTCAGATGGGGAAGAGAACTGTTTTGTTTACTAACAGTTCTCCCTGTCAGCTCGGGCACACTGCTTTGGATGGCTGTGTACACGGACATCGCCCCCTATGTAAAACACTCCCAGCACACAGTTAACCATTTGATCGCCCCTCATGTTAACCCCTTCCTGCCCAGTGCCATTAGTACAGTGTCAGTGCTTCTTTTTTTTTTCTTTTTTTTTTTTTAGCATTAATCACTGTACAGTGACACCAAGCCAGTGTTCCCCAGTGTCAGAATGCCTGCCGTAGTCCTACTATAAGTCGCTGATTGCCGCCATTATTAGTAATAATTACAGAAAAAAAATATCCAAGTATATATACCGCCATTTGTAAACGCTAAATCTTTCACGTAAACCAATTAATTTACATGTATTGGGATTTTTTTTTTTAGCAAAGACATGTAGCAGAATACATTTTAGACAAAATTAGATTTTTTAAAAAAAATTTTTACTGGACATGTTTAATAGCAAAAAGTCAAAAATATTGTTTTTTTCTCAAAATTGTCATTTTTGTTTGTTTTTTTTTATAGAGCAAAAAATAAAAAACACACAGGCGATCAAATACCACAGAAAGAAAGCTCAATTCACGGGAAAAAAAGGACATAAATTTCATTTGGGTGCAGCGTTGCATGACCGCACAATTATCAGTCAAAGTAACGCAGCACCGTAATGCAAAAAATGGTCTGTTCAGGAAGGGGGGTAAATCCTCTGGCAGGCAAGAGGTTAAGGTGGCAATATGATTGCACAATCTTCTTTAAGCTGGCTGTGCACATTAGTCTGATTGTCCATTTTCCGTTAAGATGACTCTACACATTACAATCTGATTGTACAGTCTCCTTTAAGTTGATTCTGCACATTACAGACTGATTGTACAATCTCTTTTTAAGATGGCTCTAAACTATACAATCTGATTGTACAATCTTCTTCCGAGTGGTGGGTTTTTGAACCTCTTGATTGACTGGCCAAGGGATGACGTCATTCCACACGTGTATGGAAGTCCATCATTTCAGCACAGCTGGAGTGTGCCAGGAATGCATGCGGGGTGTGCAGTACAGTGTGCATTCAACAGAAGATTATGAGCAGGCAGGTTATAGGATAAGTTAACTTTTTAACAAAAAATGATAAATGCACATTTTTTTCTTTTTGCAGGTAAAAAAAAGTGTATTTACTAAATATTGTTTTAGTTCATTAGAAAGCATTGCATCAATAATCAGCAGCTGGTTGGTGCCATGCAGGTCTCCTGCAGACTGTCGTTGTGAGCTGTCAGCCTGTACTTCATATTCAGTGACGGGAAGAATCCATGAACTACCACAGTGCTCAACAGCCCAGGGGGTTGCAAGGGCCGGTTGTACAGTAACATGTTAAAAACTGAATAAGCGTTACACATGACAACTGCTTTGTGGCCCCGCTCAGGCTAACAAGATCCAATGCATTGCACGCTGCTGATTAATGATGGTGCAGGCTGGGGAAAGGTTCAGCCAGGCCTTAAGCGTGCTGTAAAAATAGGAAGAGATTAGCCC